CAGGCGCGTCGGGAACAAAGCCAAGAAAGACACAGGGAACAGCGCGACGCGAGAGCTTGTCCGCGGACGTGTCGCGGACAAAAGCTCGAGATCCCCAGACCCGGAAACGCGACGCATCGCCAACCTCTCCCGTCCACCGTAGAGTCGGGGAAGTCTCCGGCAAGGAGACACGGGGCCAGAGGTTGAGCTGATGCGCTGCGTACCGGACTGCAAACGGCCACAGAAAGTGGGGAGCAGCCGCATGGGTCAGGGAGGTACGAGCGACCTCCATGACTAAGCCAATGCGGCGCTCAGCAACCCCATTCTGCTGTGGAGAGGCCGGAAGCATGAACGACTGCTCAATGCCGTGCTCAGCACAGTAGGCTGCCAAGAGGTCGGAGGCGAACTCACCACCCCTGTCAGAGTGCAAGCGCAGGACAGGAAAGTCCGAGTGAAAGCGCTCGCCTAGCTGGAGACGGGCTCGGCTGATCCAGGGGATCAAAACACCAGGGACGTCACCCTTGGCGCGCAAGGGGAAGACCGTGGTGTAGCGCGAGTAGTCGTCAACAACTATCAGGAAGTACCTCTCCTGACCTTGACCACGGACGCGGGCTGGGCCCCACACGTCCATGTGGAGCGTCTGCAGGGGAGCGGTCGTCGGGGGAAAGGAGGAGGAGTGAGGAGCGGCGCGCTGCCGCCCCTCGACACAGGGAATGCAGTCAGGAGCAGGGGAGTCAGGAAGGGGAGGGAGCACCCTGGGAAGACCAGCAACAAGGTCCCGTTTGTGCATGGCCCGCAGGCGCTGCACAGACGGGTGACCAAGGCGGTGGTGCCAGAGGACGGTGTCGTTCGCCAGAGAGCGACACGAGCAGGGGGCGGACAGCTGACCTGACGCAAACGCAGACGCAGCTACCTGAGGGGACTCAGTGGTCAGTGTGTACAGGTCAGACCCCGGCTCTCGAGTGAAAGTAGCCAGGTGGCGGCCCGTCCGAGCACACGTGCAGTGAGTCACACGCTCGTAGGCAGGGGTGAACTGGTGAACACCCGAGTCCTGGAGCGCACTACCTGCCACCAAGTTCGTGGAGAACGAGGGGAGGTAGAGACCTGAGAGCTTGCCGGACGGAACCGCTGGACACGGAAGGGTGGTGGAGGAGGTCGCAAGGACCGGACCCCCAGAGGGGTCAGCAAGAGAGACAGCAACCGGCCGAGCTAGAGGCTCAAGGACAGTGCGGTCACGAAAGAAAGAGCGAGAAGCACCTGAGTCAAGTGTGAAGGTGTGCAGTGCTGCAGTCGACTCAGTACCAGGGGGCACAGACGCAGAAGCACCTAGAGCAGCAGCTGCAGTAGTACCTGTGGAAGCAGACACACTAGCACCTAGAGCAGCAGCAGGGCTGGCCTGAATGCCCGGGTCGGGCGGAACACGCAAGTACTGAGCACCCTCTCCACTAATAGACATCGCATACATGGCAGTGAGAATAGCATCAAAGTCAAGTGCCCAAATATCAACACCCTTCCTGAGCAGATCAGCCCAGCGCGGCAGCTCACCCCCACCAGGAAACTGAGTGCGCCACGCATCGTTGAGGCGGGCGAAGCAGCGCTCCGTCTGGTGCGGCCCCCCACACGTCTGGCCAGTGCGGTCACCTGTACGAATAACGTACTGGCAGGTGACGCTGCGCCGCGCATACCACTCACGGGCGGCCTGAAGGGTCGGGGCAGGCTGCTGACTCTGACCGCCCGCCGGGCCTCCACGACCACCACCCCCTCCGCCTCCGCCCCGGCCACCTCCACCCCTGCCGCTGCCACGACCACCTCCGCCTCCGCTGCCACCTCCGCCCCTGTCACCACTCCCAACACCGCTGTCACCTCCACCACCGCCGCCACTAGCCTCTCCAGTCGCACCTCCACCGCCACCACCTCCACCCCCGCCTCCTCCGCCACCACCCCCACTCCTGCCACTCCTGCCCCTGCGTCGTCCGCCTGAAGCAGACGCAGCCCCGACCTTCTCAGCACCAAGGAGGTCGACAGCAGCAGCAGAGGCGACAGAGGGGAGGAGGGGGGAAGGGGAGCACCCCTCGAAGAAGGGGCCGCGGGGGTCGCCACGAGAGGTGCCTACAGCGACGATACTAGCCTCGGCTGCAAGCAGTTCCTTCTCGAGGAGGGCTATGGTGAGCTCAGTGGGGGAGCGAGAGAGGAACTGGTCCCTGACAGGGCGCAGAGAGTCAGGGAGGCGGGTGACAACGTGGTAGAGAGTGATCCAGAGCGGGGGGGGGTTGCTAGCGAGGAACTCATCAGGCATGGCAGCGCGAAAGCGAGCCTCACTAGTCTTAAGGTGGGTGATGAGGTCTGCGACAGTGTGAAAAGAGGCTAGGTCGGGGAACAGGTAGGGGAGAGTGAGGCGGCCTAGTGTGGCAGAAGCGGGTGAGGAGTAGCGGGCCACTACAGCTGTGTAGAGGTCCTTAGCAGTCTTGCACTGGCCGAAGTGCTCGCGCTCATCTAGCGGCAGGGAGTTGCGAATAGCAAAGCGAGCGTGCGCGTCACGGGTCTGCCACTGTGAGCGCTCAGTTGGGGGGGCAGTAGCGAGTGGGGCGGTCGCATGGCCGAGAGCGTGGTCGTACAGTGTAATATCTTCCTTGGCAGTGAGCTGTAGGAAAAGGTGCAGATCATCTAGCCAGGTTTCGAATTTGACCGGACGGCCCTCGGCGTCGAAAGCTAGAACAGGAGGACTAGCCATAGCGACAGCGGCAGTAGTAGAAGCAGTAAAGTCACTGAACAGGCGTGCGCAGGGTCAGCAGGGCCGGTGGGGCCTACGGACTGTAGTGGCGCACAAGCAGCAGTAGCAGGAAGTGTAGTAGTAGGATCTGCAGTGGTGCACAGGCGCAGCAGGCGGCAGCGAGAGCCGGCGCAGCAGGGGCGGGCTCAGCAGCGGTGATACGCGGGCGGCAGCGGGCGCAGCAGCGGCGGTGCGCGGGCGGCGGCGGGCTCAGCAGCGGCGGTGCGCGGGCGGCTGCGGGCTCAGCAGCGGCGGGCCGGGAGCAGTGCGGGCAGCGTGCGGGCCGGCGGCGGTCAGCGCACGAGCCGCGCAGGCTCAGCGCGGGCTGCGCGGGCTGCTCGCGGGCTGCGTAAGCGGGTCGCGGGCGGCTCGCGGGGGTTCGCGGGCAGGTCGCGGGCTGCTCGCGGGCAGTTCGCGGGCTGTGCGCGGGCTGCGCGGGCTGGTCGCGGGCTGCGCAGGCGGGTCGCGGGCTGTGCGCGGGCGGTTCGCGGGCTGTGAGCGCGGCGCGCTGTGCGGTTCGCGGGCGGCGTGACGGGGCCGATCGGGGCGCTAAGGGGCGACGCGACGGGGGCCGTGAGAGGCCGCTAGGAAAAAAAAAAAAAAAAAAAAATTTCGACGGGGCCGCAGGGCCGCTAGATCGTGCTAGATCGACGGGGCCAGCGGGGCCGGAAACAAGCGAAGGTAAGCAGGTAGGTAAGTCGGTGGGCCCTAAGAACAGTCCTAGCGAAGGACCTGCTCTGAAACCATGTCAGAAATAACTGAGCAGGAATGAATGAACTAGAACAGAGTTTGGTACAAGTAGTAAACCCTAACTTTGTGTACCCCCTAAGGTGTAACCCACTACAGCCTAGACAATATAAACATGCAATGTTTGACAGACGCGACAGAGTTGTCCTGACTGGTCACTCGGACGCTACTTGGGTGGACGACCTGGCTACGCAGCGGTCGTCGCAGGGTTACACCTTCAGCCTTGGCTCTGGTTCTGTCTCGTGGCGGTCCACCCGCTCTTCTTCTGTTCTCAGCTCTAGTTGTGAGGCTGAGATCTACGCCACGGCCATGGCTGCATAGGAGTTACGCTGGCTCACCTACCTGCTTACTGACTTGGGAGAGCGGCCTAGTTCTCCTCCAGTTCTGTACGGCGACAACAAGGCGGCCCTTGCCTTGTGTCAGGAGCACAGACTGGAGCACAGGACGAAGCACATTGCTCTTCGCTACTTTCTTGCTCGAGAGCTGCAGCAGCGCGGTCAGCTTCGGCTTGTGTACGTGGACTCGAAGGCCAACACTGCTGATATCTTCACCAAGGCGCTCCCGCCTAGTGATCATCAGCGGCACTGTACTTCTTTAGGCCTTGTGTCCACATTCCCTCATTTGCTTACTGCTTGACTTTCTTTGTACTGTACTTTATATATATCTTGTTGCTTGTCTTGTTCTATATCTAGCACTGCATGTGAACTGGCCTTGTGGCCTTTGCTTGTGCTCGGAGTGTGGTGACGTTGTGATCCACCCTGGGCTTGCGTTGCTTTGCTGGACTGGTCTTGTGACCCTTTGTTCTCCCCCACTTTGCCTATGGGGGTGTGTTAAATTGTAATGTGTTATATGTTGGTAGGCTGTAGTGGGGTAGCCAATATTGGTGTCAGAGGTCCACTGGTGATCCCCGATTGACGTCCCCAACTTGGGTTTGCTACTTGTACCCAACTGTTTCATTCAATGCACCATTCTTGCCTAGTCTTGTTGACAGGTATACCACCAACAGTGAAATAGATACTACACTAACTAGGCTAATATGCAGTTACGGTATACATAGAAATATAATTTCTGACAAGCCCGTCGATGTGTTAGTGACGGTGTGTTGGTGATGTGCGATTTTCCAGCGGGCACGAAGAGGGGTGAGAAAGACCGGGACAAGTTTTTTTCAGGGCAAGAAGTGATTGCCCCGAATCAGTGATCCGCCGCATGGTGCGGGACCTCGAGGCCGCATGGTGCGGCGGATGAGAGAATGGCCAATTTGCCCGAGAAATAGGGTTCGAGGAAGGTTCCTCTGCTGGAAATTGCCAGCGTTAAAAGGGGTGTTCGGCTGGCATTCCATTATTGTCTGTTCGGTGCTGATCCGCTTATATCGAGCCTAGATAACCTTTCACGCGCTTATCAAAGAAGGTTCCAGGGTTTCCGAACTGGGCCTAGATCGTCAATAGATTGTCATTCTGAGCAGTACCGTATGAGATAAGCGTCTACCATCCATGCGAGGATAACATCAACCCTCGGTAGAGGATGGAAAGAAATCTACAATTAGAAGTATCAATTTGATTAAACAAAAACAACAAAAGCATGCAAGCAAAAAACAATCTGACATTAGCTTAGCGCATGACCATTGACCACATATGACATCTACCCCCCAGTCCCAGGTCCCTTCTTTCCACATTTACAAATGTACACGTACTCGTAACACTGTCGTGAACGTCACGCCAGAACAGCCCGTTACACGAGCACACGGCACGCCAGGTGCCACAGGTGCCACGTCAGCACCGCCAGCAAGGCGTGAGTAGCCACGCTTTTGAGCACAGTCAGCACCCGCACCCGCCACTGCAGCTTCTGCTGCCACTGCTGCAGCAGCTGCTGCTGCCCTCTCACCATCTCCCCTCCCATCCCTTCCACCCCCTCCCCTCCCGCTCCCGACCACTCCACCCCCTCTGATTCCTGTGCTGGCCTTGCAGCAGCAGCAGCTTCTGCGACCGAAGCAGCAGGGGGGGTGCCAGGAGCACCAGGGGAGGGGGGTGCCTCACCCGTGGCCTCCTCAGGGTGAGTTGCGAGGGGTGGAGGGGCTTGCGGAGGGGTTCCTGGTGCTGCTGGTGCGGTGGATTGCGGTGCAGAGTGGCGACGCAGACGCCAGGAGGAGCGGGGGCGCTTGTGGTAAGGCGTGGGAGAGGAGGGGCCGCGACAGAGAGCTGCTGCTTCCTCCATGCTCTGATATGCGTGGAGAGAAAGAGGAGCGGATGAGAAAGGAGGGAACGAGAACGAGAAGGGGAAAAAGAAACGCGTCAGCGATTTTGGGTAGGATATGAGAGGTAAGGGCGAGAGGGGTGCGAGACGAACACAATGTGTGAGTGTGTGGTTGGTTGGGTGGGGGAGTGCGTGCCTGCGTGTGAGTGTGTGACGCTCACATAGGTCAGCAGCAGTTGCAGAATGAGCGCCAGCAGTGCTGACAACACCGTTGCTATCAAAAGCCAGTCCATTGATGCATGCATCAACAATCTCGCGACACTCCCATGATGCATGCATGCATCCCCCAGGGTGGCACCACTCGCACTCACATAGGTCACTCGCACCACTTGCAGGATGAGCGCCAGGTGACTTTTGAGCCGACTCAAGAGAGGAGCACGATGTGTGTGTGTGTGGCACTCACATAGGTCAACAGCGGTTGCAGAATGAGCGCCAGCAGTGCTGCCAGCACCGTTGCTGCCGCCAGCAGCCACAGCTGCAGCTCATCCCCCCACTCCGCCAAACCCCCTCCCATCCCCCCTGCTGCTTCCGCCCAGTCCCCCACGCCCTTCCCTTCCCCCTCCCCGCCCCCACCCCCTGCCTCCTCCGCCCATGCTCCCCCCTCTACCCCCCCACTTCCCCCATCTTCCCCCCCTGCTCCCCACGCAGTGGTAGGGTGAAGGGAGGGCGAAGCAGGGAAGGGGGAGAGAGGGGAGTGGGAGTGTGCGAGGGAGAGTGAGAGGAGGCACAGCGCTGACGTGGCAAGAAGCACCCTCAGAACCGCTAGCTCCACCATCGAGCCCAACTCGGCAGGATAACGGGTAGAGAAAACATTTCGGAGCTGCCCGATGGGGAGGAAGGTGAGGACGAGAGTGAGCGTGTAGGCGAGTGAGAAAGCAGCGAGGTGGGCTGTGCGGATGAGAGCGGGGACGAGGAGAGGAGGGGAGGAGGGGAGGGAGGAGAGGTGGGAGAGGAGGGGGATGGGCAGCACAAGGCGCTGGAACCAGAGGGGCAGGCGGGACATGAGAGCACTGGCTGGGAAAGGCGGGTTCACTCTCTCCCACTGCTCCTCCCACTGCTGCACCTGCTCAGGCTTCTCTTCTCCCTCTGCCCTTTCTGCCCCCTCTGCCTTCTTAGGACGTACTGCCTGCCGTACAGGCTGGAAGAATCTCACTCCTTGCACCTCCATCCACACCCCATCCCCCATCTCGCCTTCCTCCTCCTCGCCTCCTCCCTCCCTCCTCACCCCCTCCCTCATCTTCTCCCCAGCCCCCTCCACTGCCTCCCATCCCTCCCCGGCTTTCTCCCTCATCTTCCCACCCACCCTGCTGCCCTCTTCCCTCGCCTCTTCCCACGCCTTCTCAGCACCTTCCTTCACTTTCTCTCCCATCTTGCTGCCTCTCTCCCTCGCCTCCTCCCATGCTACCTCAGCTCCTTCTTTCACCCTTGCAGGCAATTTCTCAGCACCTTCCTTCACCCTTTCCAGCAATTTCTCAGCACCTTCCTGCACCTCGTCCAACTTCTCCGCACCTTCCTTCACCTCACCCCGCAACTTCTCCGCACCTTCCTCCACACGACCCTTTGCAGCATCCCACGCCCTCCCCATCTGCCCCACCTCACTTTCCCCCACCCCCTCTCCCCCCCTCTCCCCCTCCCCCCCATGCTCCATCTGCACAGCCTCTGTGGCTACATCATACACAGGCCCAAGGAAGGCCGTGGGTGCTGCAGGGGAGGGAGGCACTCCTGTCTCTTCATGCCCATGCCCATGCTCATGCCCATGCTGATAACCGTCCTCGTGAGTATGAGGATGAAACCCCTCCTCCACCACACACCTCCCCACCCCCTTCACTCTCTCACTCACATCCTCTACTGCTTCTTCTACCCCCTCCACCACCTCCTTAACTCCCTTCACTGCGCCCTTCACTCCCCCTTCCACTGCCCCAACTATTTTTTTCCCACCCTCCCACACAGTTTGCCCGGCCTGCCTGCACCTATCAACCGCTTCCTGCCCAAATTCCGCTGCCCGGGCACAAAATCCCACTGTTGTGTCCACAGCAGCCTGCCCAGCCCCATGCGCTTTTTCCCAAGCTGCCGCCCCAACCGCCTCAACTGTTTCTTTCGCTGCCCGACCGGTCGCGATCACAGCATCTTGGGCAGCCTCCGCATCTTCCCTGGCTGCCCGACCGCTCTCCACCACACGATCAAAAACACGCTTGCCAGCATCTCTCACCCGGACAGCAGCATACCTCGCCCGGGCAGCAAGAAACTCTTCTGCGCTCACCACTTTCTGCCCGGCAGCCCGCAGGCGAGAGAGAAAAGAATCCGCCATGTCCCACACCTTGTCTCGTGCCACGTCACCCAACCCCTTGAGCCTCTCTGCCAGCCTAAAACGCCTTCCAATAGCACCACCACCAGCAGCTCCTTTCCTTCCCTCCTCCCCTCCCTGCTTTTCTCCTTCCTCTACTTCCTCTCCCTCCTCTCCTCCCTCTCCCTCCTCTTCTTCCCCTGCTGCGCCCATCCTAGCGCTTTCCACACCCTCCTCACCCCTCTCACCCATCATCACTACCACTGTTCTTACCACAGCCTCCGCCCTCCGCCTTGCCTCCTCACCCACTCTTCCCCCCACACCCACATCAACGCCTCTCAACCCCTTCTCACCACTCTTTTCGCCCCCCTCCCCACCCCCCTCCACCCCCTCCCCTCCAAAATGGAAAACCATTTCCTCCTCCACAAGAGCAACAAAGCTCCGGTCAGAAAAAGCTTTCTGTGCTGCCCGACCTGCCCGGCGCACGGAATCAAGAGAGGCGAGCAGAAACTGGGCACGGGAGAAGGCGTCTGAAACTGCCTCTTCCACTACCCTCTCCACTGCCGCACTCCACTCCTCCTCATCCCTCCCCACACCCCCCTCCTCCTGTTGCTGCAGCTCTGCCTGTCCCTGCCTCTGCTCCTCCTGCGCCTGCCCCTGCCCCTGCTCCTCCCTCTCCCCCCCTTCACTCACATCAACAGCAGGAAGAACAACCCCTATTCCGCGTCCCCCCTCCCCAAGCCCCCCCACACCAGCATCCACCAGCCCTGCATCAGGAGAGGGGGGAAGTGGGTGTCTGGAGCCATCGCCCTTGCTAGTTGCAGTGCCATGCGCGGCGCCAGATACAGCCTTCCCCAGTAGAGCCTCGGCAGGGAGGTCTGACTGAGCAGGTGGAACCATGCGGAGGGATGGATGGGCTGCTGCGGAGGGGAATAGAGGTACGAAGAAAGGGGAAAGAGAGGAGTGCTATTTGACCATTAGGAGAGGACGGATCTGGCAAGAGAAGGATTTGAGACATGCAAAGTGGAAGCTATGTTTGCATTGGATAGTAAAAACATGCAAGTACGACACTTCACACGCTTCACTCACAAGAACAGGGGTGGGAAACATAAAGATACAAAACAGGCAGAGTAGAACCTGTGCTTCACGAAACAGACACTTTGAAACCAGTGGAAAGGCGGAATCTTGCCTATCTGCAGCGGCTAGCCTTGCCTACCAGAAACGACCTGAGCAAGTCATCAGCTTCCTACCACAAAGAGAAAATCAATCAAAGCTCACTGCCTCCTGCACACAGTCACTGCCCAGACGCTCAAGTGCTGTGCTGCCTATCTGTACGCTCTCTTGCTCTCAACGCCCTCTTGCTCTCAACGCCCTCCTTGCAGTGCCTACACTAGCTGTGCGTGCGCACAACACAACCAGCTGATCTTTTAGGGAATTTGAAAACAGAAACCAGGAATTAACAGAACCAAGGCACACCAATAAAAGAGAACTAATACAAGAACAAAACAGATACTGACTAATACTGAAGACAACTAGCTGAAAGAAAGAGCCAGAAGCGGAACATCACAAGTCGTGCCATGCACCTGAGAACTAGAGATTACACAGGATCCCCTATGCTTCACTTAAAAACCCGTAACTGACCACCAAGACTCGCATCGTCAAGATTCACCACCAGCCATACTGATGACTCACCGCCATCTGCTGCAAGGATGAAGGACGGAAGACCCAGGCGCTGCCTCTCCCACACCCACCCGCCACTGGCGCCCGCGCGGGCGATTGCGGACGGGACGAGCGCGGGGAGGAAGATCCGGCGCACTTCCCCGGGAGCGCGAGGAGGAGGGGGGGCGAGCGCGGGGAGAAGAGGATGGCGGAGATGAGCGACGAGAGCAGGAAGAGCGCGGACGCCAGGAGCGACGCCGCCATGGCTGGCGGGGAGTCTTCCGCCGAACGCGGCAGAAAGAGCGGAGGGAGGCTGATAAAGAAAAGCCCGGAGTGACTCTTAGGTCGACTCAAAAGGTCACAGGAGGAAGGCAGGTAAGGAGTGGCTAGGATTAGCTGACGGCTGAAGCGAGATTGGGTCAAGACCGGCACAGCCTTTCAAGTAGGAGTCGCGAAAGAGCAGGATAAAGCGCGGGAAAACCCTCTTCTTCGAGACTACGAGGGCATACAAGACGCAACGGCTGAGGTATCCAGCAAGGTTGCAAGGCCGCCGCTCATCTCATCCATGAGAGACATTCATTCCGGTAGTTTCTTGCGAGAAGCATCCCATCCATCGTGCGTTACTAGTTTCGCCGAGCCGCCACTGCTCCATTCCACCCGCCCTGCGGACTTCTCTGCAGCCTCGCCTCCCAGCTGCAAGGACCCACACAGCTTGAGTCCGCCGCTTTGGGACCGCGCGGAGCGAGAACTGCCTTCCGCTGGTCGCAAGCAGCCCCATCGCGTCGCACAGCCATTGCCGTTCCGCACAGCGCAGTCGCCAGGCGATTGCGGCGACATTGCTCTGGTATTGCGCCAGCTTCGCTCTGGCCCGCGGGGAGGAATCTACGCTGGAGCTCTGCATGAAGCCGGAGCACGAACGCGACACGAGAGCCCGAGTCTCCTTGGCCTTTGGTGGGGCAGGCATGATGTGCTGCGTCTGCCACGTGTAGCTGAATTGGAAAGGGAGAGTAACTAGTTGCGATATTAGAGGTTAGGGCAGGTGGTTTGATAACGCGGTAACATTGATCAGCAGTGATGTTATGAGTTTTACTAGACAGTGCGCGGAAGACTTTATAAAGAGAACGTGATTACAGAATGGCGAGAATGATAAAGGAACATGCATTTATAGGGTCGCAATCGTGCTAGACGAGAACCTCGTGACGTGCGAGGTTTGGGATCGTCGCGATTGGTGCGGGGCGACTCGGAATTGGTTCGGTCCGAAATGTAGGCCGAACCGGAATCTGACGCGAAGAGCTCGGGCTGTCCTCGCTAGGAGCAGCCTCTACAGTAATGAATGTATATTCATTACACTCTCCCACCTTCTAAATAAGGTGTCGTTATACGACGACGAGTCTTGCAGTAGCTTGAAAACTGCAGATCTCTGTCGAAACTGATCTGACGGCGCGGAAGCGTGTTGACTTTCGAGTTGACGCGTGGCTGAGCGCGTTGACCAGGCGAATTTCAAAGAGTTGGGATGTCAGCCGTTGATACTGCCGATGTCGATCGGGCGGTTGAAAGCGAATGTCGGTTTGAAAACTGTCGATGAATGACAATCGTTGATGAGGCGGACGGTAGCGATGAACGCAAGGTTCTGACGCATGTCAGAGGTCGATGAATCAGGATCCGTCGATGTCGTTTGATGTGATCGCGAGCGTCCCTCGTGCGGGATTTGTCAGACGAAAATGTCAGAACTGTCGAGGAAAAACAGCGCGAAAGATGCTCTCTCTCCCCCCCTTGAAGAAAAGGGTACACCCCAGCTGCGCGGGCACGAAAACCACAACCACCCCTGCGCCGAGGGTAGTCCGAAGTACCAAACGTTCTAACCCCGTCGAAATGTTAGCAGCTGCAGTGTCGAAAATGCTGTTGGTGGCGAAATATCGATGCTGAGGCGCTTACGAAAACACACAGGGTAAGTGCGCTGAAGCCCTTTGAAAATAATATCGTTGTGCACGGGGGCTCGAACCCTTGGAAATATTTTTTTCTGAAGAAAACGTTCGTCTTGTCTTGTAGTCACGACTGCTGCTGTAGAATCTCTCGTGACTGCCACCTCGAAATCCCTCACATGGCAGTATCGAATCACCTTTTTGCTGCCGAGTCTCCAGCTGTCAACTGCTGCAATCCCGAAATTGCTGCTGTTTGTCTTGTTGTAGTGGTGAATATCGTCGCTGTAACTGCTCCAGCTGTCGGCGCCCCCGGCAGTCTTGTCCAGACTCGCCGAGGCCCTTGTCGCATTGCTCCAAAAACTCCCGGGCAGGGACGAAAACAACTGCTGCTCTGCCCCCCGATCTCGCAAATATTTTTCCAAAGTTGAACTCGAACTGCCGATGACGTCAGTTGCATTGTACGGTGTTGTCGTGACTCGCCGAAAACCTTCGGGCAGGGGCGAAAACAGCTGTCGCCTTCTCTCCCCACTTGTTGCAAAATTCTCCCTCGTGTTGCGGCTGGTACCCCCGAACAGCTTCCGATTTTTACGGCTACCACTTTTGACGACGAGTGCCTTCGCGCGCTTAATCAAGCGACGCTGCAGTCGGCCGTCGGCACGGACACTGTCAGCGACCCCGCTGACTCCGTTAAGTGTCAGAATGTTATTCTCTAGCCTGTAGTGGGGTGCTCTGTAGCGAGTACAACCCATCTAGGGTTTGCTATATGTATCCTCATTGCTGCTAGTGAAAACCCTCTTCTTTTGCCTAAACTTTCTCTTGCCTAGCTAGGGTTCTCCTAGCTATGGCTCCTCATTCTACCTACTGCTTTCACATGGTGTCAGAGCGGTTACGCTCATGGCTTGTGGGCCCCACTCGATGCTTCCGCTGTTTTCCTATCCGTCGCGCGCCATGGGGCGCGTGACGCCTTATTTTTTCTTCCCGCCGCGCGCTCGGGGCGCGCGGCGGTTTTCTGCCCGCCGTGCGCACGGAGCGCGCGGCGGTTTCCTGCCCGCCGTGCGCCTCGGGGCGCGCGGCGGTTTCCCCCCGTCGGTTCCCTCCCGTCGCCTGCTGCAGCTCGCCCGTCGCCTGCAGCAGACCCCCCCGTCGCCCCCGCTGCCCCGTCGCGGCGCCCTGGGAAGCGCGCGCGACGCCTGCTGCCCCGTCGCGGCGCCCTGGGGAGCCGCGCGCGGCCCCCCCCGCTCGTCGCGGAGCCCTGGGGGGCCATGCGCGGCCCCGCTGCCTCGTCGCGGCGCCCTGGGGAGCCGCGCGCGACCCCGCAGCCACGTCGCGGCGCCCTGGGGAGCCGCGCGCGACCCCCCGCTGCCCCGTCGCGGCGCCCTGGGGAGCCGCGCGCGACCCCCCCACCCGCTGCCCCGTCGCGTTTCCCTGGGGAGCCGCGCGCCCTCCCCCGAATCGCCCCCGAATCGCCCCTCCCCCCCTCCCATTCTGCCTCTTTTAGGGTTTGGGGGGTGGCGAGTGTAGGGGTGGCGCCTATGGGGGTGCTGGCTGTGTGCTCCGTCCCCTGCGCCTCCTCCTCCTCACTTGCCCTTTGTGAAAGCCTCTAGCTTTGCTTGCACTTGTGAACCTTCTCTGTGCCTGCCTATTGTGCTGATTACACCCCACTTTGGCTATGGGGGTGTGTCAGAATGTTATTCTCTAGCCTGTAGTGGGGTGCTCTATAGCGAGTACAACCCATCTAGGGTTTGCTATATGTATCCTCATTGCTGCTAGTGAAAACCCTCTTCTTTTGCCTAAACTTTCTCTTGCCTAGCTAGGGTTCTCCTAGCTATGGCTCCTCATTCTACCTACTGCTTTCACATTAAGACTCTTCTCGGAGCTGCTCGTTGCACCCGTAAATGTCGGAAATAATGTCAGAAATAACTGAGCAGGAATGAATGAACTAGAACAGAGTTTGGTACAAGTAGGAAACCCTAACTTTGTGTACCCCCTAAGGTGTAACCCACTACAGCCTAGACAATATAAACATGCAATGTTTGACAAATAACACACCACGTAAATTCTTAGTCGCCTGCAAGTTGCCCCCCGAAAGAACCGGTGTTTCTAGCACGCCCACCCGGTCACCATTTTTTTCGTGCGGTTAACCACCCAAGCTCCTCACCAACAGGAGGTGCTTTTTTCGGCGTGGAACCCAGTACTTATGGGTCTTCCGAGACCGATTTTCACGGAACCTAGCGCGCATCAACGCCGCAGATCTCGCAGCAGAACCCCCCCAGACTGCTTCGAAGTAAAACGCTTAAACAGCTGGCGAGTAGACGTTCACCCGTCGCCCACCGTCGAAATTGCACCCGAAAATCGCGGTTGAGGAATCGAGCCCCGAAGTATTTTCTGCCTTGTAGCCCCGACATTTCCGCCGTTAACCCTGGTACTCCGACGTTCACCCATCTTCGTACCTGTCGAAATTACTTCGCAAATCCCAGGCATCCTTGGCAATACACCCCTCGCCGTGCCTCCATGTAACGATATCAAACCCTTTCGGGGGTCTACCGAATAGACTCCGAAATTCGCGGTGGCGTGGTGTACGGGCTCCGCCTATCACTCAAGTAGCTTGAAACGGCACCCTCAACTTTCCCTCCTTTTTTGCTTTCGCCCCCCGACAATTTCGCATGACGCCGTTCACCCAGCGTCCGCTTTTGTCGGATGAGGCATTCTTCGTGTTGACCCGCGATTTTTCTGGCGTTCGATGAAGGCGCGAACGCAATCGTAGTCGGAGCGAGTTTATCATATCAAACTCTCAGCCGGCCGCTTCGCTGCCCACCGTGCCTATCGCATTTTAAAACTCCGCAGCTTCGGGAACTCCTCCTTCGCTGCTACACCGCCGTTGGGTAGACCGTTGAAGTTGGAGAAACACCGCCAGCTGCCACAATTTCTTCAGTCCCGACATTTTCGGCAGGGTAACTGTCGCCGATGGTCCGTTTTTGTCGGGGCCGAACAGTGCCGCACCACGAAATTGTTTCTTGTACGCCCTGCCGTCGAACCAGCGCCACCCGCGCCTTTCTAACCAGCACAGGGCTAAACACAGGGCCCCACCTTTGTATCCAGTAGCCAACAGGACTTACGAATTGCCTTTGAGGCTTTTCTGGGCGTGAGGTATGCGAAACATCGGTAGACTTTGGCCGGTAGGGAGCTCCTTCTGCTACCGCCGCTTAGCCGTGAATCTCGGCCTCAGCAAAAAGTCGTCGCAGTAGGTCGTTTTCTCCCCTCCTGAAGCTCGAAATCCGTTTCTCTCGCTAGACCCGTATTTGTCGCAACTCCGTTTATTGTAGCCGGTAGACCAGGCGAAAT